AACCATCTCTAGACGACTGCCGGTTCGATTTTCCTCGGGCTGATTATAGTTCGATGAATGATGCGCTATTATCAATCGATTGGCAATTTTTGGATTCTGATCAGGATCTGGACGATATTGTATGTATTTTCAACACGGAGATACGTCAAGTCATCGAAACTCACGTGCCTCTTCAGCGCCCTCCACTGAAGCCTCCTTGGACGAACTGGAGCCTCCGCCAGTTGAAGCGCCGTAGGCGATCTGCACTTCGAACGTATAGTCGGAGTCGTTCGCAGCACTCCAAACATCGCTTTGTAATGGCCAGTAACAAGTACACACGGTATAACCGTCTATTGTATGCTCGATACGTTGATCGTACGCAGAGAAATTTACGTCTACATCCCAAACAGTTCTGGTCTTTTGTTCGTACTAAACGCAAAGAAGATGGATTGCCAACGTCCATGTATTTCGGCGACCAATTTGCTAGCACAGCCTCTAGTAAATGTGAGATCTTTGCTGAACACTTCAAGAATGTCTTCTCAAATACGCCTGCTACGCCATCGCAGATAGAGGCTGCTGTTCGTGATACGCCGCTAGACAGCATCGACTTTGGAATTTTCCAGATCAGCGAGGAGCATGTCGAAAATGCATTACGTAAGCTCAAACATTCCGTGTCACCCGGTCCTGATGGGATTCCTTCATCTGTGTTGAAAAACTGCTCGAGTTCTCTGATGACACCGTTAGTAAAACTGTTCAATCTCTCGTTCCAACAGCAAAAATTTCCTGCTGGATGGAAAACTTCGTTTCTGTCACCGATTCACAAAAAGGGTGACAAATGTAACGTCGTCAACTACCGTGGAATAACGTCCTTGAGCGCTTGCTCTAAGGTTTTTGAAATAATTGTAAACAACGCTCTCTTTGAAGCCACCAAAAACTACATTTCATGTGTCCAGCATGGATTCTACCCGAAACGATCTGTTACTACTAACCTCACTCAGTTCACCTCACTCTGCATACGCTCTATGGACGCTGGTTCACAAGTGGACGCCGTATACACGGACTTCAAGGCTGCATTCGATCGTGTGAATCATGATATCCTGTTGCAAAAACTCGAGAAGCTGGGGGTATCTTCCGCGCTTGTTAGCTGTTTTAGATCATATCTGTCTGAAAGATCCGTGAGAGTAAGGATTGGTTCGTCACATTCGGAGCCGTTTATGATTCCTTCTGGTGTACCGCAAGGGAGTAATCTTGGACCGCTGCTTTTCTCATTATTCATAAATGACATTGCCTTTGTGTTGCCACGTAGACAGCGAATATTCTATGCCGACGATGTTAAGATCTTTATGATCATCACGTGCACTTAGGATTGCCTGGAGTTGCAGAGGTTATTAGATTTGTTCGAGGACTAGAGCAAGCGAAAGCTACTCGATTTATGCATAGCCAAATGCAACACAATATCATTCAGCAGGAAGCGGCAACCAATCAATTTCAACTACAGCATGTGTGGACAAACTCTCGAGCGCTTGTATCAGGTTAGGGATCTCGGTGTGATATTGGACCGCGAACTCACTTTCCGACCGCATTATGAAGACGTGATTGCAAAAGCCAATAAACAGCTCGGCTTCATGTTTAAGCTTGCTGATGGATTTCGTGATCCTCTCTGCCTGAAGTCCCTTTTCTGTGCACTGGTTCGATCTATTTTGGAATCTTCCGTGCTGGTATGGTGCCCGTACAACAGAAACTGGATTGACCGTATCGAGGCGGTGCAGAAAAAAATTGTGCGCCTCGCTCTTCGCCACTTACCCTGGCGTGATTCGTCAAATCTTCCTCCATATGAACATCGTTGTATGCTGTTAGGCATCGATACTCTGGAGAAGCGAAGATCCAATTTGCAAGCCATCTTCGTCGCTAAGGTAATGACCAATGAAATCGATGCCCCAGATATTCTTGCTGAATTGCACGTATATGCGCCGCAAAGACCTTTGAGGCAACGTAATTTCCTGCACCTTGCTACCCGGAACAGCCGTTATGGTCAACACGATCCTATCAGGATAATGTCTTCTCGGTTTAACGATGTTAGTGGACAATTTGACTTCAATGTTTCTGCTGCCACTTTTCAACGCCGCCTCAATGCACAGCGGTGAGTATCTGTCCAATCACTGCTACTTCGAAAGTGTGTATTACCTGCTGTTTTTTTTTATTACATGGTCCTTCTACAACACTACGCCAAGTTTCCAACCATCCGATGCGTGAGCTGCGACGCATTTGCAGATTGTTGTGTTCAATTATTTTAGATTATTGACTTAGCTTTTAATATGTTTGTCATTTGTATTCATTTGTATTCAACGTATTCTGTGTATTGACTATTTGTAATTTTATTTATTGTTATATGTATGAAAAGACATGGGGTTTTTACGCCTCTTTGAGCCAACTGAATGGTTTACTCAAAGAGGCTTTTCCCCATCCTAGATTTCATTAAGACTGAAAAAAGTCAGATGAAATAAGAAATAAATAAATAAATAAATAAATAAATAAATAGCAATTGCGACACATGCTCACGACCGGATAATAATAAACACAGAATCGAAGAGTGTCCGTCGGCCAGAATAATTTGAATTTGGACAAAAAATGTTATTCAAACCAAATGTAAAATAGTTTTAAACAGCTTGGAAGATATGCTAGCACTTGAAATTGATACCAAGAGCCACGGTGAAAAAGCAGCATTATGGTTAGCTATACGAGGAATTTCCTTCTGTTTAAAATGGTACCCTAATCCCAGTCTGTATGTTTTCAAAAAAGAAATAAGAGAAATGAGGTGGAAACATAAAGATTTCTTTAGACGACATTTCGGAAATTGTGTAAATATTTGCTAGGAAAATCAATGAAAACAGTGATATGAAAAAGTAAAGAAAGCAATGAACAAAATGTTAGGTTAAGATAGGTTAAGTTAGGCTAAGTTTCCCTTCCCTTGTGATCGTGTGTTCGGTTATATATGTATGGATGAAATAGAGTGAGTGAATATGAATGAGTGTACATGAGTGAATGTGTTAACTCCGAGTACGCCGCGGGAAATCGGTTTCCCAAGTTTAACATAGGTTTTAAGTTAGTTTAAGAAACGTGAAAGGAAAAAAAAGGAATACCGGTACAGGAAAAAGAACAAGAATTAACGGAAAATTGTTTGTAATTTTAGTTTTGAACTTTTTCAATAACAAAAAAAAAAAAAAAAAAACACTGCTAATTTGTTGATAACTTTTCACTCAGTTGTTGAAATTTGGTTGTCTTTAAAGTAATTGATAGATTAGAATCATAGCTTACTATAGATATGCAAAGAGTAAGTAAATCTTAACATTTGAATCAACACCAATGATTTTTTAAGCTTAAAGTCCGAGATGTGCAGCGAGCATTTCTCACTTCATTTTTACAACGCAAAAACAAATACAGTTTATTACTAGAACTAAAATCTTCTTTTTTTACGTATCTATTGTGGTATCCTAGATTAGAGTGTATGTGAAAACGAGGAAGAGTGCAGATTAACGTGTCAATAAAGATAGATGTGATTGTAATATCATGAACTTCGTACTTAAAATATACCAGTGATTTTCGGAATACCACATTGGCGATCCTGCCATGATAGAGGTGCACTGGATGAGTGTGGTGAACTTCAGAAAATATGCAATTTTTTGCGACCGGTAAGTAGTTTTAAAAACAACATAAAGATCATGGAAATGGACGGAAGTTTAATTCCCCGGAAGTGTTGCTAGGAATGTTGAAAACGTGAAATAAATTAAGGAAGTTAAATTATATAGTCTTTCCGTTGATTTATGGAGAAGAACATACCCAACACTCCAAGAAGATGTATATATTCAATTTTTTATGCGGAGTCATCTTGAAACCTAAATAGTTGAGTCGGGTTAAGCCCAAGACCAGCTTGTATATATAACACCATGATGGTTATAACGCGCACAATTGCATAGTTCCATTTTCAAGTCCTCACTTTCGCCCAGTAAAAAAAAAATTTTTTTTTTTGATTGTTATTGTTATCCGCACTTTCGGACCATCAATATTCGCGCATATACAATGAACTATAGATAGTTCACGACAAATCAATTTCAAGACTATGTTGAGTCGGGTTAAGCCTAAGACCATTTTTTTTTGCGCCGAGTTCAGCTCAAGGCCAAAACCGCTTAATTTGAAACAGTTGAGTCGGGTGAAGCCCAAGACCACCTGATATTTTTTGAGTCGAGTTCAGCTCAAGGCCAAAATAATGCATTCGAACATTAAAAACATAAGCCGGGTAAAGCCCAAGGCTACGTGAGTTATACATAAATGTGTCTGCGCCGAGTTCAGCTCAAGGTCAAAGCTTTTATAGCCAAAGAAGTTGAGGAAATAAAAGAGGAAAATATTGTGTATTTAGTGAGTCGGGTTATGCCTGAGGCGAAGTGGAATCAAGATAAAATAAAAGAAATAATTAATGGCCACACTGCTTACTAAAAGCAATTGTGTAGTGGAAGGCGAGTTTACAATGCTAAAATAAAGTGATCAAGCAAGACAACAAACGTTGACGTTTGGCGAATTCGAGTTCTAGATCGATGCATAGTATGGAGTGCGCCAAAAAGAGAGGCAATACAAAAACCAACGATCAGGATTCGTTTTTTTTTTCTCCTACTGAACCACAGTCAGCGAGCTGGTTAGTTGAAAAGTGTGTAAGTGTTTGTAAACTGAGTTATCCGTTCAATTGAAATATTACACTCACACATAGAGCTGGAAACCTCTAGTACAGCATGATCATAATTCTCTGGAAAGCGTTTCAGTTCACAAGATATCTTCCATTTCTGAACATCGGTATTGAAATTTGGTAAAATGAGTGGTTTGTGGCATGAAAGTGACATCTCTTCATCCGACGAGTCGGGTTCAGCCAATTTAAATTTTGAAAGTGTTGAGAACGGAAATGTTCCAGGAAAAACGGTATTACAAGATTCCACCGTGGGGAAATCTCTATGCGGTGCTAACGGAACACATCAGACGAAAGCTAAGCATGGAAAAGTTGCTGCAAAATGACTTTCAGGCTCGTGGCCACTAAAGCCGTTTGATGAAAGTTTGCCTCTTAACAAGCGTAAAGCGGAATGGATTCGTTTTCGGAATCAGTTTGAGCGAATTGCCGCCTGCAAGGAATCTGTTGCACCTGCCATGCAGCTGGACGGATTGAAAATCTTCGCTGGCAATTATTTACTAAGTGTAATCGAGGTTCAAGAAAATCTTTCTGCTGGTTCGGATGATATTTATAGCGCAACAGTATCGGCGCTAAACAGGTAAAGGTTTTTTTTTTTGTGTTGTGTTGTTTTATATTATGAATTTCTTGTTTTTGTTTGTCGGAGAGTAGAACAGTGTTTCTCAAGTGGTAATATACAACACCTGGAAGGGGGTTTTGCAAAACTTGTAGATCGTTTTATTTTAATTTATTTTATAATTTTTTTATCAACGTCGAAAATTGTGAAAACTTTTTAATATTCATTATTTACTTACGACAATGAACATGATTTTGAATAAACGATACGAGTCCCTGAATTCATAGTTGAGAATCACTGTTATTGACTGTAGTCTCCCTTATTAATCTCCCTAATATTGTAATAGGTATTTTGAACAAACGTGCGACTACACGAAGGAGAGGATGAAGTTTCGTGAAATGCGAATGGGCACCTCAGAACCATTTGTTGATTGGGTTTTGCGATTAGAGACTCAAGCAAAGTTTTGCGAATTTGAGGCAGAGCAGCGAAACGAAGAATTTGTTCAAGCATTAGTTCGACGATCTGTACTGCAAATCGCAACAAAGTTGTACGAAATGAGCAATATCTTCAACAACAATCTTGAGTTGATTACTGCCCACGGTAGACATCTTGATTACATTCGGATGGAATCTGAGGAATCAAAGCAGATAGTAATGAACGAAGGTGGTAGCAGCATTGAAGAACTAAAGACACATGAAGGGACTGTGGTGAAGCCAGTTAATGCAGTAGTTAGTCAGAACTCGCATTTTGGTCCAATGCGTCACGGTTCATATCGAGGATCGCGATCGGAAGCCAACAATAGGAATTTCCGATTTCAAGGTGTGAGTTCTCTTGGTCGTGCAGGACGGTTCAAAAATACCAGCCAGAACTGCTTGAAGTGCGGCAGTATTCACGGTTCTAAGCAGTGCAGGGCCTATCGCGTCAAATGTTACACATGTGGGAAAGAGGGGCACTTTGCCGAGTTTTGTTTTTCGAAAAACAGCGCTACTAATCCAAGACAACGCTGGCACCCTGATAGTGGTGAGATGGTAAAGTTCGAAGCTGGAAGGATCAATCAGGTACAGTAATTCTTCAATTGGAATATACCAGATCAAATAGGCAGTGCATTTCTTTAATAAATACAAATCATAGAATACATCGATAGTATCATTGCTTAAGCTTTTATTTTTGTGTGTTTATATTCTTATTAATAATCGTTTCAGCTTATAACTGGGCGCAAAAACTCTTCACTAGGAAATGAAGATCCTAGACTTGTCAGTTGTAAGATTGGAACAGAGAGTTTCCAATTTTTGATTGATTCAGGTGCTACTGTCAACACCATGACGAAAAATGGGTGGCAAATGATCAAGCGTAATTGCCGTTCAGTTATTCAGGATTTTGTGCTTTACCCTGAAGAAATTTTGCGAAGTTATGCAAACCAACAACCACTAGAAGTAGAATTCTCATTTAAAGCGTACATTGGGGTGAGCAATCAACCATTGCAGCTGGCAAAATTCTTCGTGGTCAAGGGAACTGAGTTATCGTTGCTCAGTTACGAAACAGCAAGTAATTTGAACTTGATTCGTATAGGGCTGCAGGTTTCACTCTTACATAACAGCAGGACCGAACCGAACACTTTGCACTCAATCTCTGACACTCGATTGGAGCCCAAAATGCTCGACATTTCTGTAGCCCGTGAAAACGAACCGCAGGAGTTTCCAAAGATTCCAAATGCCGCCGTGAAATTCAAGGTGGATGATTCGGTCATGCCAAAACAAATCATCCGGTACAACATTCCAAAGGCATTTGAAATTGCGACGAATGAAAAGTTGAGACGAATGGAGGATAGGGGTATTATTGAAAGGGCAGATAAAGAACATGATACAATAACATGGGTTTCACCGCTTGTGTTAGTTCCGAAGGGTGTCAATGATTTTCGAATTGTTGTAGATTACCGTGAGGTAAACAAGGCGATCATTCGTGAACCATATCCAATGCCGTCGCTAGACAAGATTTGGACCGATATCCCAAATGGTACGATGTATTTTTCTAAGCTCGATTTGAAAGATGCTTATTTTCACATCGATTTACATGACGAAGTTCGCCATTTTACAACCTTTATGACAGCCAATGGATTGATGCGGTTCAGAAGACTTCCGTTCGGATTATCATGCGCCCCAGAGCTTTTCCAGAAAGTGATGGACAAACTACTGATAAAGTGTAAAAATATCATTATCTACCTCGATGATGTTTTGGTGCATGGCAAAAACGTACCAGAATTGAGATACCATGTTGCCGAAGTGAAAAAAGTGTTGAATGTTAATAATCTCACTATCAATGAGGAAAAGTCGATGTATGATCAGAAAACAATAGATTTTCTGGGATTCACAATTGATGGCACTGGAATTTTACCAATGCGGAAGAAAATATCGGATGTTAAGTTTTTCGAAAAGCCGAAGGACACGTCTGAAGTCCGCAGCTTCTTGGGTATGCTGACCTACATAAGTCCGTTCATCAAGAATTTCTCGCATAAAACTAAACTGCTACGTGATCTCCTAGCAGAAAACACGAAGTTTGTGTGGACTTTGCAACACCAGGAATCGTTTGAAAAACTCAAGGACGAAGTCGAACGCGATCTAATTAAAAGAGGATATTTCAAAGAAAATGATCGAACTGTTCTCTATACGGATGCTTCACCTTGGGGTCTAGGAGCAATCTTGGTGCAAGAGGGGATACAAACTGAAGAGCGTCGAATCATTGCTTGTGCCTCCAAGAGCCTGACAGAAGCAGAGTGTCGATACCCACAGCTTCATCGAGAGGCGTTAGCAATCGTTTGGGCAATGGAGAAGTTCTCTTACTATCTATTAGGTCGACGTTTCACCCTACGGTCTGACAGCGAGGCACTCATGTTCATGACAAAGAACAAAAACCGTAAAGACGTCGGTAAGAAAATATTGTCGAGAGCTGAGGGCTGGATGTTAAGGATGGATCATTTCGCTTATGATTTCGATCACGTTGCTGGCAAAAACAATATTGCTGACGCTGCATCGAGAATCGGTGTTAAGCGATAATATCCACAGTTTGGTACTGAAAAAGAGCCACACGAATTATTTTCCGTCTTCGCCAGCCCAAGTGTTATCAACGACCAGTTGTTGGCTTTAACAAACACAGAAGTGAAAACTGAATTACTCAAGGATCACGAGCTTAAGGCAGTCATTGAATGGCTTGGAAAAAAGGAAAAATGGCCAGCACATATTGCAAAATATCAGGCATTCCAGGGTGACTTGTATTTGCAAGGAGAGCTATTGATGAAGCGTGAGAAAATGGTTTTACCGGCATCATTGCGGAACCGAGCCCTGCTTTTGGCCCATCGTAGTCACCCGGGTATGTCAACCATGAAAAATTTCCTGAGGCAAGGTTTATGGTGGCCAGGCATTGATCGAGACACAGAAGAGTTTGTTAGAAGTTGTCCAGAATGTCAGCTCGTTACTGTCACTTCAAATCCTGTTCCCATCGTGATGACCGAACTTCCTCAAAACCCATGGGATTATGTATCGATGGATTTCTCCTCGGCATCGGATGTGCATAACTGGAAGGCACTAGTTTTGATTGATAATTATTCCCGATTTCTTGTAGCTTTGCCAATGGATAAAACGGATACGGAAACTGTGAAGAGAGCACTTAGAAGAGTTTTCAACTCGTATTATATCCCGAAAACATTGAAAGCCGACAATGGGCCTCCCTTTAACAGTGTAGACTTAAAATCTTGGCTTAAGAATGTCTGGGGAGTTAAGCTGATTAACAGTACCCCTTTAAACCCTACGGAAAATGGTCTTGTAGAAAGGAGCATGCAGGGCATTAACAAAATCACAGCCATTGCTAAACTTGGGAAATTAAACTCGAAAGAGGTTTTATCAGAGTATGTGGCGGCATACAATTCATGGCCACACCACGTAACGAAGATCCCTCCGGCGGAATTGATGTTCGGAAGAGCTGTGCGGAGTGTACTGCCAAACATCCGTACTGATCAGCAACAGTTGGTTGATGAAGAGCTTCGAGATCGAGATCAGAAGGCAAAGTTTGACCGTAACACAAGAGAGGACAACGTTCGTCGAGCTCGGCAAACTGAAATCGAAGTTGGAGATACGGTATTGGTCACACAACAAAAACGTGATAAGGCTGACACGCCATACAAAAACTCTTTCCACAAAATAATTAAGATGCAGGGAGCTGGCAGAGCTACCGTCATGGATACTATCACAGATAAAACATACGACCGGAATGTTAAGTGCTTGAAGAAGTACGTGAAACGTAAGAGTGACTTGGACGATTATGGTAAAATATTTTTTTATTTTGACACACCGCCGCATCACATTTCGTCTATTTGTTTTCCTTTTGCATTTTCCTTATTTTTTTAGTGCCACCGGTGGAAGAAGGTTCTGGACAAAGACAACGGCTAACTAATCAACCTTGTTCAACTGATGAAACGACAGTGAAGGATACTACAAGAACCCATCCGTCTGGAAGTAATGTATTGGATAACGTGGAACCCATTGCAAAACGCCGTAATACCCGACCGATTCGAAAGCCGCAAAGATTCCTTAAGAACTATGTTTCGTGAACTGTGTTCAAAGTTATTAGCAAATGAGCAGTTCATGGCCAAGCATGCTCATCACCCTGCTTACACTGGGGAGGCTGGCATCCCTGCCCAGTATAAAATTAAAGACAGTATTTATTCATAGAATGCGTTCCTGAAAAAAAGCTTTAATATATTTATTCCTTAAGCTTGATTGCATTCTTTTAGCGTATATTAATTTTGCATAAAATCATCCCGAACATTGATTAATTAATTTATTGTTTTATTTTTTATTTTTCATAATCTTAAGGTGATACGATCTCCATTTTTGCTGAGACGCAGCAAATATGGTGCTGAAAATTTAATGCCTGAAATCGCAGGAGTGTCCGAGAATAACTCCCTTCGAAGTGGCAGTACAATTTCCTATGGTTTGTTGACGCTGGATCGTATCACCTTAAAGCCGTGGCGCATCCAAGGTTAAAATATTTCTTATTGGTTTTAGTGCTAAGTTATCAATGGCTACCCGCGACCACCCACAACCACTGCACTGGTGCAGATGCTTCGGAACTGACAGCAGTAGAGCGAAACAGGCGAGAAACTGAAAGAATGTGAAACATGTTCTTCGACGAGTATAAATTCAATTGACTACTTACTAGCTGAAAGGTTCAGATATATAATCAACGCTTTTGAAAGAATTTCAGCGGTTTTAGATTGATTAGCTGGCTAGTTTACGTTTATCTCCTACAAAACAATGCATAGCAAATGAGTGATTTTCTCTATAAACGCAAGATTTTCTACGGGAATGGCTTCGCTTAAGATTAGGATGGTTCTGGCCACAATAGTCAGAGAACCGTGGCTGTTCTCGATCCGTGAAGGTTCTGTCAGGAACAGAATTTTGAATGGTTTCTCTGCTCGCTTTCGGCATTGTCCCGGTGTATCGTCCCTTACCGGATTTTCCCTTCGGTAGTGAAACTTGAAGTGCCTCAAATGGGGTGGATTTTTCAATTCTGAGGATGTCCACCCTTTCCACTTGAGATCCTGAATACTCAATATTGAATGAAAGAAAATGCATCTATCAGATGTCAAATCTCGAGGAGGCAGAGGAAATATGAATTTTGATGTGGTCCTTGCTACTCAAATTCTTGGTTTATGATTGTCATACGATTGGCCCATTTTAAGAAATTTAATTAGTTAAAACTTATGAAAAAATCACCTCTAAATATTGTCTAAGCGAACTGAAAATTAATTTTAGATCTCAATTGACATTGCACAATCCAATATTATTCTTCACAGTTGTTTTGCGCGGAGCAACCCAGCACAATCCCCATAACCCATCGTCCAAGACAACGCGTGAGGCAATGATTGAAAACCAATTATCAGTTTTCAAATTCATTGAACAACTTAATCCTCTTTTGGACAACGCATCCGAGATAATGGATATCCAAATGCGATAATGATACAAACATGAGGGATAAACGTCCAGCAACGATGTGCAATCTGATGGGCAGTTGG